CGCGGGCCGGGCCCCCGGAAAGGCCTGCACGAACCCTACAGCGAGAGCGAGGACGATTGGTGCTAAGCCCGGGCCCCCGGCCCCCCACGCCCCCCACGCACACACCCCGCCCGGAGGAGCCGCGCAGAGGCCGCGGGGGCCACCTCGATGCCACCTGCCCAGCCCGGGAGGCCCAGGAGACGACCCACCAGAAGACCAGGGCTGGGCCACAAGGGTGTCCCTCAAAGACCCTCAGCCAGAAAAGACCCTCCTGGGCAGCAAACGCGCCCCCCACCCAGCACCGATTTCCCCCCATGACAGGGGCTCTCGGGTGGGGGGCAGGGGGCAGACAAACCACTCAGCCAAGGGAGTCAAATGAACTCAGCCATCTTTGGAGAACCTTGGGGAAAAATGGAAAAAAAAAAAAACATTTTTAAAAGAAAAACGGGAAGAAAAAAAAATAGCTTCTATTGATGAGTTTTATCATCTCAATTGAATCTTTCCTTTCCCCGGTGAACGCAAGCTGGTGGCCGCGTGTGGCGAAGAAGCCAGAAGGGAACGGAGACCCAGCGCCCCACACCGACCACCAAACACGCTCACATCCCACACTCGTTCTCAGACACACACTGGAGTGCTTGCCGGTTACACCAAACCCTACTATTACTGCCTGCAGAAATCAATTTAAAAAATAATAATAATAATAAACGATTTTAAAAAGGACAAAAAAAATTAATGATTGAGAAAAGAAGCATTTTTTCTGACATTTGGTCCTGCTTGAAATAACAAAAGAAGAAAAAAAAAAAACCACAACCACCACCAACTCCTTTGCTTCTTTTTTCCTTTTTTCCTACCTTGTTTGAAAACCGTGGGCTTGGGACTGTGAATTATTGCATGACATTAAAAAAGACAAAAAAATAAAAAGTTGAATCAAAGGGTTTTTGGATCGGAGTGGTCTTTGTACCTGGCTAAGTGCTGCCCAGGTGTCTTTTGGGGAATCGCAGAAGGAGCCACTTAGCTCCTGGAAGAAGTGTTGGAAAGTGTCTTAGCTCTCCAGTCGCTGGCTGTTTTCTTGCTCTTTGCAATGTCTGGGCTCTGTCCCAAACCCAGCAGAGAACAGGACAAGCTCCTTCCCTTACTGAGCACAGTGGCCAGAGTGGAGGGATCCCAGCTGCCTTAGCAGCTCAGGAAAGCCAAAGCCAAAGTAACCAGGTCCTTGCCAACTGTCCTGGCTGGGGGGCAGGGCAGTGTACCCCACCTGACTCCATGCCTCCACCCGAAGGCCCCCAGGTCTCCGGAAGCTTAGGTTCCATCTAAGAACAACCATCCTGGACAATAAACCATCCTGGTGGCTGGGCTGCCCTGGTAAGCACCCATGAGGCCCCAAACATTAGCAGAATTCCTATTGGAAACACTCTCCAGGAGGCACCTGGCAAAGCCAACTCAGGGCACTTGTGCCCAGGAAGGTTTCCCCATAGTGAGGAGTGAGCCCTGCCCTGAGCTGTGTCCTGTTGCACAGACTTGCCTGAGATAGCCCTAAATTACCTGCAGCCAATGGGGAGCTCTAGAGGTCAAAGGTCAGAGCAGCCCGTGGGTGGCAGGGGTTGGTCATGGCCAGATCAAGGTGAAGGCAGTCTATCAGAGGTACAGGTGGGGGCAGGTTCTTGTGGAGGACTGACAGCCTGTCATCCCTCTCTACCTTCAATCTCGCCTGTGGACAGCCTCACCTGTGCACCTGCTCACAACACACCAGACGCTGGCCACACACATGAAATCCGTAGAGGACCCTCCCACCCTGCCCCCAACCATAGGTTCTCACCTCCTTCCCTGTTCTGTGAATACTTCTGTGAATATAGCCTGTAACTATAAAACTGTAGGAAATAAGATTGGGGAAGGGGGTGTTCTGTGCCATTCATACAAGCAAAGGGCCATTTATCCCCCTTGCTCAAGTTGAGGAAGAGGGCTTCTCTTTGGCCTGCAAGGGCAATTCCTGGTTCTCTCTAGAAAGGGCTTCAGAGAATCCCACAAAATGTGCAGACAAGGAGAGGTGGATGGTCCTCAAGGAAGATCAGGGTGCTGTTACAAGAAAAAAGAGAGTCAGAGGCCAGGCAGGGAGAGAGTAACCACACGTCTATCACATCCCAACTTTTGGGCCAGTCATTGGACCCTGAGAGGCTTGGCACTACCACCTCCACTGGGATCCTCTCCCAAAACTCAGCTCTACCTTCACTGGCTGTGTGACCTTAGGCAGGTGACTTAACCTCTATGCGCCTCTGATTTCTCATCTGTAAAATAGCGTGTGTGTGTGTGTGTGTGTGTGTGTGTGTGTGTGTGTGTGTGGCTAGCCTGTACGATGATCTGAACCCGTGCCCTTGGTGTTATAAGGCTGTGCTCTCACCAACTGAGCTACCCGGCCAGCTTCCCATCTGAAAAATGGAAGTGCTAACAGAGCTGTTTATGGAGATTAAATACATTATTCTACATCAGTGGTCAGCACACTTTTTCTCAAAGGGTCAGAGAGTAAATATTTTCAGCTTTGTAGCCCAGACGGTCAGTCTCTGTTGCAGCTTTCCAACTCTGCTGTTGTACCAGGAAAGCAGCCATAGATGATATGCAAATGAGTGAGCATGGCTGTGTTCCAATAAAACTCTATTTATAAAAACAGGCAGTGGGCTGGAAGTAGCCCCTCTCCTACATCACTGGTTTTCAAACTTTGTGGTCATAGCGCATCTTTGCATTCTTAAAAATCTTTGAGGACCCCGAAGAGTGACTATTTATGTGGGTTATAGCTACAGATATTAACTATTTAGAAATTAAAATTGAGAACTTTTAAATCTGTTTATTAGTTTTAAAATCACAATCAACAATAAACCCATTACATGATAACAATTAACATTTTAAATGAAAAATAGCTATATTTTCTAAAACCAAAAAATTCCATGAGAAGGGAGGCTTTGTTTTACATATTTCCATCTCATGAATGTTGGCTTAACAAAAAACACCTGTAGGGCCGGCCCGGTGGCGCACTGCTACAGTGCGCCGCTTGGGAGTGCAGCGGCGCTCCCGCCGAGGGTTCGGATCCCACATACAGACCGGTTCCCGCTCACTGGCTGAGCAAGGTGCGGGCGCAACACCGAGGGTTGTGATCCCGTTGCCGGTCCCGGTCCGGTACGGGTGCGACACTGAGGGTTGCGATCCGTTGCCAGACACGAAAAAAGACAAAAAAAAAACAAAAAACACCTGTATTCTCATGCCTGTTTCTGCATTCAACCCATTGCAATATCCAACATCCCCTGGGAAACTCCCCCATTCACATGTGACAGAATGAAAGCAATGGAAGAAAAGAGCATCTTAATATTATAAAAATAATTTGGTCTTATGGACCCACTGGAAGGGTCTCAGCAGCCCCCCAGGGTCCCAGACCCCTTTGAGAGCTGCTGTTTTGAACTACAGAACAGTACCTGGCTTGTAGTGAGCTATTATTTAGTATCATTATTACCATAGGATCAAGGCTGGCAGATTAGTTCAATGGTTAGAGTACAGCCTTATAACATCAAGGTCACGAATCCCTGTATGGGCTAGCCACTAAAAGAATTTTTTTTTTTTTTAAAGATGACCAGTAAGGGGATCTTAACCCTTGACTTGGTGTTGTCAGCAACACATTCTCTCAAGTGAGCTACCAGCCATCCCTATATAGGGATCTGAACCCGTGGCCTTGGTGTTATCAGCACCACACTCTCCCAAGTAAGCCACGGGCCGGCCCTTAAAAGAATTTTTTTTTTAATTACTGTACCATTAAAGGAAAATTTCTGACAGGTCTTGCTCCAGACCACAGGCTTTGGCCTTCTCTCAGGCAGAAAGGGCTGCAGACTTCAGATGGTAAGGCAGGCAGAGCTTCTTCTAAAGTAATAGCATCTAGGAAGTGACCAGTCCGACAAAAAGCTAAAGAGGGTTTTAACTTCCTAACCAGGCAGCTTGGCCAATTACAACCCCCCGCCCCAGACTTCTAAATGAGCTGCCTGT